AAAAAAGATGAATGAATGGAAGAAATGCTCCTTGTTCTTTAGTTCCCCAGTTATTGCCATCCCATGGCTACCTGTTCATGGGGACACACAAGGTCTTCTGATGGCTCCTGCCAGCGTGCCAGAGGCACCTGGTCCTGCTCCGGCTTCGCCTTGCTCTCTGGCGGGGCTTAGGAATGGAGAGCTCCTGGCCTGGCTCACTTTGGGCTGTGTTGACTCCGGAGCTTGATCTGGATTTTAGGTTTACATTTTTGCCTAGTACTTTGTTTTTTTAAGTTTCCAGAAACTGCTTGACCTAAAACTTGTTATGGAGCTCTGCTTTCTTTTTGCTTCTTCCTGCTCATTCAGTGGTTGATTCTCTAGCCTGGGACTAATTTGAATGTTAGCACCGGTTCTTGCAGGAATTATCTAGCAGTGAATTTACATGCAGGATGGAGAGGAAAAGCTTATCATAACAGGAGCCACGGGTGAAGGAATAGAGGGAGGTCCTAGAGAAGGAAGCAGAGGAGAAAGCAATAACTTCAGCCAGTCCTGGTACGGTGGCCCGTGCCTGTAATCCCAGCACTTTGGGAGGCTGAGGCCGGTTCCTGAGGTCAGGATTTTGAGACCAGCCTGGCCAACATGGCAAAATGCCATCTCTACTAAAAATACAAAAATTAGCCCGGGTGCCTGTAATCCCAGCTACTTAGGAGGCTGAGGCAGGAGAATCGTTTAAATCTGGGAGGCGGAGGTTGTAGTGAGCTGAGATCGTATCTCTGCACTCCAGCCTGGGTGACAGAGTGAGACTCCATTTCAAAAATACAATAAAATGTAAAAAAAAATTTCAGTCAGTACTCATTTAATTTAACCCTTGACTAAAGAGACAAGAGTAGATGCAAGAGTGGGGATGGGCTGGTATTAGACTGTGGAGGTTTAAAATTAGGGGGGAACCCTGCTCTGTGTAGAGTAGAACCTACCATGTGCCTGCACTTGCTAAGTGACTGAAGCTGTTACCACTGAATTCTCAAAACAGCATTTTGAGTAGGTGGTGGGTGCTATGTTTTCCAGATGAGGAAACCTGAAGTTGGGAGAGGTCGGGTAACCTCTGTATTCGCATGGCATTCACATGTACAAATGCTTTAGCCTCAGGACAATTTTAGACTTCTACCTTGACTCCCAGTCCCTAAAGATTCGATCTCTGTTCAGGCTGAGACTTTAAAAGGGAAACATTTCCAGCTGAGTGAAGACTGATATCATGGATTAAGCCAAAAGACAAAGGTCCGCATCTGAGCTGGGACCATGAGGAACTGGAGGCCACAGATGTCCCTGAATAGGTATCCGTGTGATGGCAGTGAAAAGAGCTGTAGTATTTACCTTTGTACGGAACAGGTTAGATAAGGGTTGCTGGCTGAACCAAGATTCTACCCTGGAAGAAAATAAGAAGTGTGACAAATCAACCATTGTATTTTATTTTATGTAGGAAGCCCAAAACTGGAATATTAATGCTAAACATGGGAGGCCCCGAAACCCTCGGAGATGTTCACGACTTCCTTCTGAGACTCTTCTTGGACCGAGACCTCATGACGCTTCCTATTCAGAAGTGAGATCCATATAAACACCTCGACTTGATTATAACCTTGGCACTGCATTGACATGCGTCTCTCAATTCTGTAGTTTCAAACCAGTAAATTGTTTTAATGCATATCTGGTAATGGTTAAAGCAGCAGCATTGTTTTCTATTGGATATCCGAAGGATATGATATCAGAAAATTTCAGGGGGAGAGAGCAAATAAGTTAGTGAGGATTCTCCTTGAGCCCTTTGCTCCCCAGAGCCCTGGAAATTGCAGTTTACTTGACGTAGCCTAAGCACCTTTAAAGATTTTTAAAGATGTATTTGTCCTTGGCACTTAACGGCTGATTAACAGTCAGGGAAGCAATGATTATTATTCATTTGTACTATAAATATGGATTGTTGCTGCCCTTCTTTTCCTTTCATCCTTCTTTCCCTTCTTCCTTCTCTCCTTTTTCCTTCAAAATAGATTTTTGTAATGAAAAATTAATACATGCATGTGATAACTACAAATAGTATAAAAGTAATTACAGTAAAAGGCAAATGTCCTTTTCCCCTTGCACCCCCAGTTACTCACCTGGAGGTCAACTCTGTTACATCCAGAAATAGTCTGTGCATATCCAAGTATAGACATACATACGCGCACACACACACACCCTCCCCCACTTTGTTACACAAATGTGAAGGTACTTAGGTACTATATTTGAAACTTTCCTTTTTTTTTAAAAAACTTAACACTGTATCTTGTTTCATAACATTATATCGATATGTAGGTCTGACTCATTTTTTGATTACTATTTAGAATTGCATGATATGGCTGTAACTTCATTTGTTTAATCCGTGCTTCATGTTGGACAATTAGGTTGTTTACAGGATTGCAGTGAATATAGTGAATAGTCTTGTGCATACATCTTTGCTCCTATATGCAAGTGTATCTATAAGATTAATAGACTTTATTTTTTAAATTAAGAGAAATGTATACTTCCTTTGTCTTATATCCTAGTTCTCGTTAGATGTGGGATCAAAATGTGTTACTCTAGTAGCTAGCACACATCCAGGGTTCTCCGCGTGGGTGTTGTGTGTCCTGAATCTTCAGAGTGTGCTACTGGAACAACTTGTGGAGCACAGCTGGGTATTCCTCAGAGCGGGTCTAGCTTTAGCTCCATAATCTACAACAAGACAGCTGGCTATTGTCAATGACCTCAAGCTTCTATTTTAAAGGCTTAATCTTGTTAGGCTCTCTAAAAGTTTGCTTATTTTTTTTTTTTTTTATTGAGTAGAAAACATTTCTCAGGTTGCTAAGGTGGAATAAAATCCACTTACCTGTGTGTTAAATGATTTAGTAAGCTGGCACCATTCATCGCCAAACGTCGAACCCCCAAGATTCAAGAGCAGTACCGCAGGATTGGAGGCGGGTCCCCCATCAAGATATGGACTTCCAAGCAGGGAGAGGGCATGGTGAAGCTGCTGGATGAATTGTCCCCCAACACAGGTATGGTGTTTCTTCATTAACATGTAACTAGATTAGTTCTTTCAAAGTAGTTATGAAATTCAAAACAGTAGTAGAAGCTAAATGCTTCATATGTACTGGCAACTCGATTTGTGGTGTTTCTACATAATACATGGTCATTTAATTTAGGTCTCCAGGCATTATCCCTTGACCTTTAGCCTTTGCTATGACTTCTTACATTACAAGTGAAAAAAACCTAAGGATTTGGGACATGAGTTTCAAAAGGAAGTTCGAGATGTTTGTTAAGTTGAGGTAGAGTATAAGGCATAAGCAACATACCATAAATAAAAGATGCATATATCATTATGCTGGAAAGAAATCTTTGAGAAATAAATTGAGTCTGCTGCTATTGCCTTTTCTTTCCGGTTGGATAGCTAATTAGAATATTTAGAGCAGTATTAGCTAGCTATCATGGAAGTCACAAGACACTAAGCAACTTGCAGTGATGCTGTCAGCTCTCAGGATACCACCATAATAAGGTATTGAAGGTCCTCGATGGATGTGGCACCAAAAAGAGGATTATGCACATCTGAGAACCTCTATCCAGAATAATAGCGTGCAGAATGAACCACTAAATGCATGGATGAAGTAAAAATGCCGTATTAAACACATTGAAGACACAATTGATTGCAGGACAGCCTGTTTTTGTATAATACTAAGACACAAAAGCACTATCAGTTAATTTTAAGACACCATCTATCGTAGACTGGACTGATATGAGAAATGTTAAAACCAAAAACATGTACATCTTAGGACACATGAATTACATTCATTGCAAATATATCTTAGAGCTTTGGGATCAGGATAGGTGTGTGACACTGGGAACCCTCAAAGAGAACAGCTCCACTAGGCAGGACCAAAAGGAGCATTTCACTCTTTCCCAACATCACTGAGCAAGCGTCCACTCCAGCTGCTCTCAGAATCCACTGGTTCCCACGGCATAAAGTAACAAAGGGTCCTGGCCCCTTCTCAGATCACCTCACATGGAAAATCGTTCAACTGTGCTTCTACATATTTGGCTTGCTTCCTGCTTTCAGCTGTGGTTCAAGGGCATTTCTTATGCAGTTCCTCCGTGCATGCCGCAGTGCACCTTTAAAGTGTCAGCCCTCCATTCACACCTACTTGATAGAGAACAAACTCCAGTCATTAACAGTTTATCCCAATCAAAGATTTCTTGTGGGCCTGGCGTGGTGGCTCATGCCTGTAATCCCAGCACTTTGGGAGGCCAAGGCGAGTGGATCGCTTGAGCCCAGGAGTTCAAGACCAGCCTGGGCAACATGGTGAAACTCTGTCTACACACACACACACACACAACAACAAAAATAACAACAACAAATTAGTCAGGCATGGTGGCACACGCCTGGAGGCCCAGCTATTTGTGAGGCTAAGGTGGAAGGATCGCTTGAGCCAGGGAGGTTGAAGCTACAGTGAGCCACGATCACGCCATTGCACTCCAGCCTGGGCAACAGAGTGAGACCCTGTCTCAAAAAAAAAAAAAAAAGATCTATTATGAACCAGATTTGCAATTGCTATGGTGTCTTCAGTGGGAAGAGGAGGCAGAAAGGTTCCCATTTTTCCTGTTTTTATGTTACTGTAGTACCCATCATTATAAAGAGCCCTAGTAAGCATGGGGATGGGGCACACCCCAGCTGTTTGGGAGGCTGAGGCAGAAGGATTGCGTGAGCCCAGGAGTTGAAGCCCTGGTAGAGTTTTCAGACTTGAAAAAGGAATAGACAGAAGGGCATCCTTCCCGCCACCTCCTGTCTCTGTGGCGAGGCTGTTGGGGGTACCTCTCCATCTCCTTCTCATTTCTCCTCCCTTCTGATCCTTTCTTTCCTATACAGTTGTAAAGTTTACTTTTGAACTATGTCTATTCATTTATTTCTATTAAGAAAAATTCTCTTTAGGCCAGAAAATGTGATAATTGCAAACAGATAAACACGTTTCATGCTGTCATTTTTTAGGGAAGTGGTTGTTGCTTGGTAGCCAGTGTGGACATTTTGAGACTTGCACTGGTTTCATAGAATTGACCAGTTAACTAAGACAGTGAGTTATATCAGGAAGTGGTTTCATGTAGTTGCATTGCAGAAATGTAGAGAATAGATACGGAAATAAATGAGAAGTGTAATCATGTGATGGAAAGTCTAAATCTCAAATATGCTATACAAATTGTAGTTTAACTGTTTGGCTTGTAACTGCTTTTAGTGACTCATGAAATAATTCTGTTCTTTACCGGATGCAGTGTGGCTGGAGTATAGGTTCTTTTCTCTGATGGTGCTGGCTTCCCTGCTCTGGTGCAGGCAGTTTACTTACTTCACTAAGCCTCAGCTAGAAAATGGGGATGGTAATAGAACCCAACTCCTAGATCCTTGTGAAAATTAAATGAGATAATCCTGAAAGGCATTAACATGACAAAAATTCAATATACGTGAGCTTTTTAATTCATGATTAGCACAGGGTTCATGATCTGATACAAATTAAGAAGCATTTGCTACATATTTCAAACTTTTTCAAAAAATCATATACAAATCGGACATTTGAACTATTGTATATGCTAAATTAATGAAGTTTTGCTGTTTAAAAATCTAGTTTCTCTATCTTTTAGTAGTTCTTGCTGAAGACTGTTTACATTAGACGGCTGCTCTGAGGGTACCTAGGCTAGGCCAGTGAGTGATGTGTTTTGGGCTCACTCTGGCCAGATGTGCCCATGAGATGTGGCGCTGGTTAACATCAGAGATGCTCCTTCCCGTCCCTGCGTCCTTCCAGGGACAGCCAGCCTCTGTGTGAAACCCACCCTGGTGGACAAGGGGCCTCCGTGAATACTGTTTGTTGGTTCTTCAGGATATGCCCAGTTGGAGAGTACATTGCCGCTTTTTCTACAATATGTGTTTACAGGTTGTCTTTAGAAAGCATTTAGAAAACATTATCAGTTCTTTCTAGGGTATTTTCCTCTGTCTCACTTTAAAATGTGGCCACCTGCTGTGTCTTTATCTGCAAGGGCAGCCCCTCTACCTCTTAGTGTGCACGATTTGAGGCACTCCCAGACCCCAGGCATTTAGACTGTAATCTTCAGATACTGGACAGGTGAAAAGAAAATGTGAGAAGCTAGTTGACCTGCAGCACTGGGGATGTCATTCTGATCATTGTATTGTTTCAAAGTAGATTCGAAAACAGTTTCCACTTGCTTGCTAAACCTCAGCTCAGATCACCAAGAGTTGCTTCAAGGGATTTGATGGTATTGTAATAGTTGGCAGTTTTTAGCACAAAGCACATAATCTTTGAACAATTAAGTCATTTGGAGTTTGCTTATGGGATCATGTCCTCTGATATATTTTAATTGCTAGTGATCATTTTATGCAAGGCAGCATGAAATTCGTGGCCTGAAAATGGACAGAGCACTAAAAATGATTCAGTTTTACTTCCTTCCTCTCTTTTGCAGTCCCCAACCAGAGACTACTGAGTCCAACCAGCCTTTCTGTGCGCACATGTGCTTCTCTCGCCTAACGGCATTCTGCTTCTCCCTTGGGAATGTGTTCCATTGGCTCATAGTTCTCTGGGTCAAGTTAGGAGGAATGTCATCCTTGTATATATCTATGTTTAAATGAGATAAACTCCCGTCTTTTCCTTCACTTTAACCTAAATGTTTCTTGTGGCAATTTATGTCACATTCATAGTTGCAGCCCCTGCTAATGCTTTGGACAGTAACATTATCATGGTCTTACTATTACCTGACATTCATGTAGTGATTCTCACTGTCATCCCTGAGTGTAAGTTATATGTAATCCTATGAAAAGACAAGGAAACAAGACTAAGTAAGTTTAGGAAACTTGTAGTTTTATGACTTTATACATGCTTAAGCAATTATGTGGTGTGGATGTTTTTGAACCATAGGAGAGGAAGATGCGGGACAATAAAGAAGATAGAGGAGGGTATTAGTGAAAGGACAGGGAAGGGACAGGGAAAGAACACGAGGATATGCATCAGGCATGGGCCATTTAGGTACCAAGAACGATGGCTTTCAATCCCACGTGGCACCTCCAAATTAAGCACTGTTTTATGTGTGTAATGAGGAGAATCATTTTAATCATTTGTTATCAATGAATTTTTTTACATATCCAAGAACTCTTTCTTTTTTTATGTATAAACGAGTTGGCCTGGGGTTTCAGGGAACTGGGTAATAGGAGCCGGGTGAGGGGGCTTCTGGGAGGAGTGAGAAACATGGGTCGGGAGACCCAGGCTCTAATTCCAGCTCGACCACCTGCAAGGTATGACTTTGGGTAGTTCAGTTAACCTTCAGAGTCTTTGTTTCCTTATCTGAAAAATCAGGTTTAAATAATTGAAAAAATATGGCCGGGCGTGGTGGGTCACGCCTGTAATCTCAACACTTTGGGAGGCCAAGGCGGGCGGATCACAAGGTCAGGAGATCGAGACCATCCTACCTAACATGGTGAAACCCC